TAACTACACAAAGTGGACCCGGGTCGTAAACCCTTCATTTGATTAAAGAATCTTCCTGTTAAATTGCAAGTACCTGTTAACATACGTCCGTACAATCAACATTGATGTACCATTCATTCAATATTTATTGGTCCAAACGACCCATCCCTTAATAGAAAAAATCGTTAAAGCGTTTTGGACTTCAGCTTTTTTAAGTCCGTCGCTGAGCTAATGTGCTTGAATAACTTTCAACACCGCAACTAAAAAGCCATATCTTAAGAACCGTAAGGTGCTTTTTGGGTCATTATTGCTTTTTAATTACATTCCCTTAACATTTTCTCTTTATACGTCAAAAATTTAATCAGGACTTTTTGGATTTTATTTCATGTTTGATAATTATTAAGACAACCATCTGGTGAGGGATACGAAACAACGAAAAGAACGTTTAATGATTATGTAACCACATTCAGTAGTTGAAACAAATTCACGTATCATTTGGTGTGATGTATCTATATGAATGAATGGATGGCTTAAAATTCATTTCCGCCTTTGGTGAAACGTTAGAGATTTTCATTTCGTGAAGATTTTAATGGGAAAAAGGAGGAGATCCAGCAAACCATTTCGGGCCTGATGGAAGTGTTTCTGTGTGTGAAAATCATTTCAATACAATATTTAATAACTTTTGAAATCCATCACGTAAATAATCTGTGTCCATGCTATTCTCATTTAATTTGTAAGTGACCTGATATATCATCATTCCTCATTGAAAATACACTATTTGATAACTTGAGTCAGTTGTGCACGAAAAATAGTCACTCAAAGTGAAAGTACTATTAGGGAAGTTTGTTTTGTGACTTAATGTTGGAACTTTCACCTTGCGGACGCTGTTACTGGACATACGAAGGTAATTTTACTCTCTCTGTAAATTAATTCTGTAGAAACATTCCAGTATTGTGTTTTCCAAGGTCACTGCAGCAGGTGTTCGTATCTATGGCTATTTGGACTGTCTTCCGAAACTTTCATAAACTGTTTTTCTCCGATACGCTGGCTATTGGATAATCGACTGGTAAAGATCGCTAATCTAATTAATATTTAGATACTGACTGACTTTTTAACCCCCCAGTAAGAAGTGAATACTGATGTGGCGTTGGTTATGGAAAATGAGGGTTTTAAGTTGAGCAGCAACTAACCGAAACTAAACCTCCAAAACACTATTGCCGAACGTGCAGTAACATGTTCCTTTCTGTGTTCTTTAATTATAAAAACTAAAAAAAAAAGGTTCGCGGCGTGATATGTTTATCCAGGTCATTTTGGCAGGCGTTCGTAACTATAGTTATTTAGACTTACTTCAGAAACCTTCATTAATAGTTTTTCTCTGATTGGCTGAACATTGCATAATCAGTTGGTGAAAACGTTAAACCAATCGATGTGTCGGACATGATAAACTTTTGAAAACTCTCTCTCAAATGTAAGAACTACTGTGGCTTACGTTATGGAGAATTTGGCTTTTAAGCTGAAGAGCAATCAAGGTCTTATTAACAATAATCTCTTCAACTTCCAAGTTATCTTTCTTCACTGCGAGTGTAACCCGATCAGTTTAGTTTGGAGAGTAGGGGCCAGAGGTTGATGACATGAAGGTTATTGCAATTATTTTCCTGGTGCATTACCTTATTTTCACAGATGCTGAAGAAGGAGCCAGCAAATACTGCAAGACAGCGGACGAAAAGTGGGATGAGCTCAAGGAAATGATTGAGAGTTTAAACTGTCCTTGCCCAGGTAGTTTAAAAATGTAGTTTTCAATTTAATTCGCCGAATCTTTACTTGCTTCATATTTTCAATTTTTTATCTCTTTCTATGAAAATCTGTGAAACCAAGGCTTGAAAAATCCAAAAGAAGAGTTTAAAGTTTTGGGTATCCCTTTTTTTTTTTTTTTTTATCTAGAGCCGCCTCCAGAACCACCCATGTCTTGCAAATACGGCTTTGAAGACGGGAAAAAGTAAGTAGTCATAATATCTTAATGCTTAAGCTTATACAAAAAACACTGGAAATAAAAAATATTCACATTTATGCTAATAACAAAAATTTTTTTTTTTGTGGATCAAGAGCGAACAAGGATTACATGCTCCAGGTGGACGAATTCACGAAACTGCCTGTTTATTGTAACATGGATGGCACTGGTCTCGGCGACTGTGGAGGTGGAGGATGGACGCTGGTCATGAAGATTGATG